CCAAAGACTAAAACAGAAGTTCAATTTTATTTATTTTGCAGAAGACTCCTTAATCTCTTAGTTCGCCTTGTGGGAAATGCATGAGGATTTCTGACTAGAGCTCATGGTTATTTGCTCTTTTTGGTCTTTCTAAAGTCTGGATTAGTCACCTTAAAATCATAGAAACATAAGCATGGTATCTGTAACTTTTAAATGTTTGAACAAAACATATCCATAAAGGCTTAGTGGAAAGGCTTACAAAAAATAATTAAAAGTCTCAAAAAGGGGACAGTATTTCAGCAAAAGCAGGTAGTTGAAAGTCCCTTATAGCCCTGTACCTATGCCTTGGAAGCAGCCCTGCCCCCATCACACAGCTGAAGGTCATTTTGGGGTCCTAAGTATCTGGGCATGGGATGGGGACATCTCTGTAGCAGGTTCCTGGTGTCTGGAAATGTTCATCTCTGCCTCATTTGCATGTAGAGATTCAGGCTCAGCCTGTGTCTGAGAATACAGCAATAAGTTACGTAATTCTGTTTCTGAGAACTGTAACAAACTTTTTTAAGGGTTTTCCAGTTTCCCGTGGGCCCCTGTAATGCCTGTCGATGGCCCAGGGATGTTTTCATAGTGGTGAAATCATGGTACTTGAGGTCTGTCTCTGTGGGTGTCTCTGTGATGCTGGGGCCAGTTTAGGAGCCTCAGCATGCGAGCTAGTTACACTTCGCTTGTGTGTTGTGCAGCGTTCGGGTTAGGCTAGAAAGGACCTACCAATCTTTGCAGTTGACCTGAAAGTTGGCAGTGCCAAGAGGGAAATTCATTAACACCCTAATGAATGAGAGTAGTTCATGTCCTTGAGAAATTATCAGCTGCAAAGAAATTGTCAGCTGCAAAACCTTTGCCTAATTTGACTTTTCTAGGGTCAGTCTGGTTCCATTTGTAGTTTGATAAAAAGCTGGAGCCAGCTGGCTCCTGACCAGGTGCCAGCGTGCCCCAGGCCACCAGCTCAGTGCCACCTGTGCGCTGTGGCTCTTCCGTAAAGCAAATATTATGATTGACTCCAGACACCCACATCTCCTCAGAGAATGAAGACTCTTAGTTATCTCGTTTACTTAGTTTTCAGTGTACTGAACACGTGTGGTCTATCAATTCTGATCCAGTTTCAACTTTTACTTAAAGGGTCTGCTTTAGAACACCGTCACCCCATTCTTACATTTCCTTATCTACACCTAAAACCTTTGCTCTTCATACCAACAGATGGAGGATGGCTTTAACTCACACTCAGAAGAGACAGGTATTTGATACGCAGACAGATATTATTTTCCTGAAACAATGTTTTTGTCCTCTTGAAATAACATGGATCTTATTATTCAGAAATGTGGCTTCATGTTTAATAAGGAATCCTGGGTGTAGTGAAGCCCATTTTCTTGTACTGGTTTCTTAACAGATGCAGATGGATGTTAAGGCTGTGTGTGTGTCCACAACGGCATAGAGGCGGGCGGGCACATCCCACGGACTCCGGGAGCCCTGCGTGCCCCCACGCAGCTTCGCCATCCACTCGCTGGCCTTGACGTGCGGTGGGTGGGTGGGTAGATGAGCAGACCTGACTGGCCGACCAGCCAGCATCCATTCAGGGGCTCCTCTGTGCCGGGCTCTTCTCCTCCCTCTGCCGCTGGCTTAGGGAGACTGGAAAGTGCCAGTCCCCTTCAGAGGCCACCCCTTCCAGCGTCCTGCTCCAGGGCAAGTGAAGGCTGCCATCTCTCCATCACCATTCTGTTTTCTTGCACTGTTTCTGTTTCCACAGAGATTCTTGGTGCTATATTGGATCTTTTTGGCACTATCCAGTGTCTCTGGTTGAATGAACATTCCTTTTTACCCATGATGGTTACAACGATAATGTGCCTCTGATGCTGGCTGGTTATAACATGGGACTTTATCCCTTAAGCAGGTGCAGTGGAATGAGACAGGGATCAGCCCCCTTTCTCGTCTATGTTTCCTGAAGTAACGTCCATTCTTTTCTCTTACTCCCTAATTAATACCAGCTGTTTCCTTCATTCCTTCCCTACCCCTCCACAGTCAGAGGTGATGGCAAACAGTGGTATGGTTTGGAATAGGTAATCCTGCCCAGCACTGAGGGAGAACCATGCTTAGTCACTTTTTTCTTTACTAAAATGTGTGTCTTAATTAAGCTGAGAATTATGATCACTGAAGAAAACATGTATGTAAAACTTTATGTGCAGATATTTTATGCTGCAGGGACTGTAGCAAAATTAATGAATTTTCAAGTGTATTTACATTTCTTCAGGTTTATTTTCTTTATGTATTTTTATCTCTGCTCTATAGACTTAAGTAAGAGTGATCGTTTGTTTATTGATTGTATGATGGTTTTTCTGGCCAGTTTAGGAGCCTCAGCATGCAAGCTAGTTACACTTCGCTTGTGTGTTGTGCAGCGTTCGGGTTAGGCTAGAAAGGACCTACCAATCTTTGCAGTTGACCTGAAAGTTGGCAGTGCCAAGAGGGAAATTCATTAACACCCTAATGAATGAGAGTAGTTCACGTCCTTGAGAAATTATCAGCTGCAAAGAAATTGTCAGCTGCAAAACCTTTGCCTAATTTGACTTTTCTAGGGTCAGTCTGGTTCCATTTGTAGTTTGATAAAAAGCTGGAGCCAGCTGGCTCCTGACCAGGTGCCAGCGTGCCCCAGGCCACCAGCTCAGTGCCACCTGTGCGCTGTGGCTCTTCCGTAAAGCAAATATTATGATTGACTCCAGACACCCACATCTCCTCAGAGAATGAAGACTCTTAGTTATCTCGTTTACTTAGTTTTCAGTGTACTGAACACGTGTGGTCTATCAATTCTGATCCAGTTTCAACTTTTACTTAAAGGGTCTGCTTTAGAACACCGTCACCCCATTCTTACATTTCCTTATCTACACCTAAAACCTTTGCTCTTCATACCAACAGATGGAGGATGGCTTTAACTCACACTCAGAAGAGACAGGTATTTGATACGCAGACAGATATTATTTTCCTGAAACAATGTTTTTGTCCTCTTGAAATAACATGGATCTTATTATTCAGAAATGTGGCTTCATGTTTAATAAGGAATCCTGGGTGTAGTGAAGCCCATTTTCTTGTACTGGTTTCTTAACAGATGCAGATGGATGTTAAGGCTGTGTGTGTGTCCACAACGGCATAGAGGCGGGCGGGCACATCCCACGGACTCCGGGAGCCCTGCGTGCCCCCACGCAGCTTCGCCATCCACTCGCTGGCCTTGACGTGCGGTGGGTGGGTGGGTAGATGAGCAGACCTGACTGGCCGACCAGCCAGCATCCATTCAGGGGCTCCTCTGTGCCGGGCTCTTCTCCTCCCTCTGCCGCTGGCTTAGGGAGACTGGAAAGTGCCAGTCCCCTTCAGAGGCCACCCCTTCCAGCGTCCTGCTCCAGGGCAAGTGAAGGCTGCCATCTCTCCATCACCATTCTGTTTTCTTGCACTGTTTCTGTTTCCACAGAGATTCTTGGTGCTATATTGGATCTTTTTGGCACTATCCAGTGTCTCTGGTTGAATGAACATTCCTTTTTACCCATGATGGTTACAACGATAATGTGCCTCTGATGCTGGCTGGTTATAACATGGGACTTTATCCCTTAAGCAGGTGCAGTGGAATGAGACAGGGATCAGCCCCCTTTCTCGTCTATGTTTCCTGAAGTAACGTCCATTCTTTTCTCTTACTCCCTAATTAATACCAGCTGTTTCCTTCATTCCTTCCCTACCCCTCCACAGTCAGAGGTGATGGCAAACAGTGGTATGGTTTGGAATAGGTAATCCTGCCCAGCACTGAGGGAGAACCATGCTTAGTCACTTTTTTCTTTACTAAAATGTGTGTCTTAATTAAGCTGAGAATTATGATCACTGAAGAAAACATGTATGTAAAACTTTATGTGCAAATATTTTATGCTGCAGGGACTGTAGCAAAATTAATGAATTTTCAAGTGTATTTACATTTCTTCAGGTTTATTTTCTTTATGTATTTTTATCTCTGCTCTATAGACTTAAGTAAGAGTGATCGTTTGTTTATTGATTGTATGATGGTTTTTCTGAGGAAAGGAAAAAGCATTGGCAATGGCATATAATAACCTAGAATTCCTGCAATTATTAAGTTTGGGCAGTATTATTTTCAGTCAATCTCAGTTAAATTTTCCTTGGTGATATCTAATATGTTACATATACTTAATGAATTTTTATTTTAAAAATTTGCTAAGACATACACATAAAAATTACTGCACAGGTAATTATTTTAAAGTATTTTAATATAATTTATTTTAATTATTTTTAAAGTTACTACATAGAATTATTTTTAAATGGCAATGCATACAAAACTTTGCAAAAATCCAAATATTAAAATAAGTGTACCATCTATCAGAAAGTAAACTAAGAATAATCTACCTAAAGTCATATTAGTATTCTCTAATAATATGGGTTGTAAGAGCTAAATAAAGAAATATATAGTGAAAACTCCCTTTGGTTTAGTTATTTTATTAAGATTTATTAAATTTAACTTTTGTGGCAATATAATGATTGCTATGGGGTTTCTTTCTTAGTTTAAGTCTCCACAGATGGGATGATGTTCAATAGCTCATGGTCATCAAATGCAAAAGGAATCAATTTTTTAATGTAATTATTTAAAACTTTCTGATGTACTTAGAATAAATTCAGAATTAAATTCAAATGGAAATATCATTTTGTTGTTATAATCTGTCTAAATTCTGGAGAAGATTTAATTGCAATGGTGGAATTAGTTGCAAGAGTCAAATAATAGAATTGCACATGGAGTTATTGTTATTTTCCCAGATTTTACATTTTCTTGATTTCATCTCATTCAATAATGTGCTTTATAGATTCAATTGTTTGTATGGCCTGTACATGTTATTGATCTGCATTTCTGCTCCAAAGACAATAATTCACTTTGAGTGATATGTGGTGCTTTGTTTTTCTTTTTCTTTCTTTCTTTCTCTCTTTTTTAATAGGCCTTTAGTGAGTTTGAGATTGAGCAGCATCAAGAATGTGCTTATGATCACTTGGAAGTGTTTGATGGAGAAACGGAAAAATCGCCAATTCTTGGACGACTATGTGGCAACAAAATTCCAGAGCCCCTCGTGGCTACTGGAAATAAAATGTTTGTTCGTTTTGTTTCTGATGCATCTGTTCAAAGGAAAGGCTTTCAAGCCACACATTCCACAGGTCAGCAAACACGGCCATATGTCTCTTTTCTGACTAAGACCCAGGTATCTGTTCAGGTGAATGCAGTGGATCCTATGAAAGGATCATAAGTGAGTCTCCAAGCGCAGCACTGAAGCCCTGTGAGAAATATTTCAGAATACGTGAGAACAGGCAACATCCTACTGACACATTTTTGTAGTTGCTCAGAAAGAAATACGAGTTTGATCTGATTCGTGTTTCATGCATCATGATCGAGTAGAACTGTCACTATTTGCATAATGTATTCTTTAGCAGTTTGATTTGTATGCTATGTTTAATAACAGATAGAAATCTATAGCTTGGTATTAAAAAATTATGGTTTCCTTAACATCCCACCTGGTTAAGAGAGCTTTTGCATTAATATATTTTTGTAAATCAAATTTGGGATTTATCTCTGTGTTCTGCAGAATCTCTTTTCTTCCCCCTTTTGTTTGGTATGCAACACATCTTCCCTCATCTTAATCCTTAATTTGAGCTGTAATGAAAGCCTTCAAGCAATAAAATAAAATTTAGAAAAATATGGAAAATTTTAGGCAATAGTGTAGAATAACTTTTTTTTTTACAAATAAGAGTCAGCTTAATAATATATCCTATAAATATCCAGGAATATCCTTTTTTCTTTTTTCAGTTAAAAAAACAAACCACAGTCATTTAGCTTATAGTGACACCTAGCGGCATTCGCAGTACATTAACTAAGAGGCAATCTTGGTGTAAAACAGTATAGTCATTTACAAATTTGTCCGTGAAACAATTTCAGTGTAGTCATTTTTGTCAGGGTTTCCTGCTTAGTTGTTCTTATTTTGTTGGAATTTTAATCATGCCGTTGTCCAATTTTATCTTATAATAACAGAATATACTCTGGAATATTCTGTTATGAAGGTTAGATTTATACTGAAACCTATTTGTGAGGAAGTGGCTATTGTCAGTCTATCTCGTTCATACGAGTAATAGTTCAACTCATCAATAATTGCTCAACTCAACAAATTAATTGCTTCTCATGATTAATATAAATATTTTGGTTTGAGAAAAATCTTTCATGGACTATAGAAATTTCTTACTAAAAAGGATTCTCCATATATTTAACATTTACTCTTTAAATATTTTTCTGATAACTTGTTATGCATTGTAAGAGTGGAAAAATTGGAATTCATTACTTCACCAATATTTTTCTGAGAGCTCAGAGTTCATGGCATTTTTATTTTAATATTCTGGCTATCACTGGTTCCAGGGAGGCAGTGTGAAAATACTTTGTCAAAACTGTTGGAATAGCTGATGATTTAGTATTTTTAAATTATCTACCTATAAATCCCTTAGTGTAATAAAACTTACCTTAGAGTTTCTCTTTTTACCCTTTTTGAATGGAAAGATTAAGATTATATTATGTTCCAGTGTGTCAATACAATCTGGGTTTTTAGTCCATCTGTGCCATGTACCTAGCTCGAAACTTTGGAAAAGGTAATTTCTGTGGATCTCAGGTTTGTCATCTGTAAAATAATAGTCTCAAGATTTTCTGCAGCTGTAAAACTCCACAACTCTTTAATTTGCATATCCTCTGATCATGCACTATTGTTTGTATTATCATTAGGAAACCATTGACAGATCTATTATAGCAGAGATCATGTACTGACAGCCAGCAGTGAATTTGACATTTCCTTGGCATTTTAGGCACAACCATGTACTTAACATACACACTTTATACACGTTCCGTCCTTAAAAGATTCATGTATTGTAGGCATTATCATCTTCATTTTTCAAATAAACAATATAAAACATCTGGAGGATTAATTTGAAAAGATTCTAAAATTATGTCAAAGCCCAGATTTTATCCTAATTCTGACTGTCTCCAAAGGCCACATAACTTTCCACTGTATAGTACATTTTCTCTTAATGTAAAATTTTTGGATTAGGAAGGACACCAATACAAACAATGGATCCCTATTATCTGAAGCAATAGGTAGAAATGGACTGCTTCCTTATAGAAGTCTTACACAAATCCTCTGGTCAAATATCTAACTGACTGGGCTTGTTTTATTTCCCTGTCAGTTCACACAAGTCCAAATACCTACATGAGCAACCTCGTCATATTTTGTTGGCAAAACACACCTTTGATATCGTTTAGTCCAGTCCTGTCATCTTAGAAGTGTGGATTCTGAGACAAAAATGGAAATGACAACAGAACAGCACAAAAACTAACAGTTGGGATTCGAGTCCTGGCTTCCCATCTCCTGTTAATTTGTTCCTGGCAGAATTGTTGGCATTATCTGTTCATGTGTTTTTAGTTGAAGTATAATTGACATTCAGTGTCCTATTAGTCTCAGGTGTACGTGATAGTGACTTGACATTTTTATTCATTACAAGGTACTGTCCATGGTAAGTGTGGCTACCTTCTGTCACCATACCAAGTCATTACAATATTACTGACTGTATTCCCTCTGCTGTTTTTTGATCCCCATGAGTTACTTATTGCAGGAAGCCCTTTCAGCCCCCTCCTACCCTGGCAACCAACAGTTTGTTTCCATGCTTTGTTTTGTGTTGCTTTCTTCTGCATATTTTTACCCTCACTTAATCAGCTATGTTGGAATTTCTGGGTAGATTTATATAATACTGTCATTTCTAGTGTCCATATGTGCTGAACTATTCTTACGTACTGCCCACTTTTTATTTTTCTTTCATCAAACATTTATTTGACACCTGCTTTGGATAGACACCATAAGGTATTAATAATTTATAGTAAAAACTAGGAATTTGTGGGAATTTGTAGGAAACTAGAAGGAATTCCTGCCTATTGACTGCATATAGTCTAATGTATAGCTTCTGATTTTTGGACACTTTCAGCTGACAAGACAAAATCCAGAACCACATCTGTCACATATTCATTATTTATTGCTTCCTGGAATACATGTAACCATTATTGCTGGACACTGAAGTATACATTTTAACTTACTTGAGTAAATTTTTATTTCCATATACAATTTAATTTTTTTGTACAAGAAAAGCTAGGGATTTTGCAACCAGGTGATTAGAAATATTTTCTAATACAGCTTTATATCTATTTTTTTCACAAGTAATCTGTTCAAATCCACGGGAAGTGGAATTTATTGGAGATCCCTCTTTTCCTCTGACTATAGTTTCAGATTCTAAGGCCAAATTTATCTTCATCAGATATTGAATGGTATTATATCAGCCTTAACTAAACTCATTGAAGGAAACAACTCTTTCAGTGAAAGAAAAAAAAATGATCCTGTGTATTCTCTCAGAGGGAATCTCTGTTATATAGAAAAAGAGAAGAAATGTGGGGGTAGAAGTAATATTTTAAAACATGGCATTTTTGGTATTGTCTAGAAAGACTTCTATAGCATATGGCATGATACTATCTGTCAATGACATTTAAAATATCAGTGCATTATTAAGCTTCTTAAAAAGGAAATTTGATATAATTCAATTAAGTTGAGATGCCCACTAAAAGCATCTCTAGATCAAGGTGTAAGATCTCTCCAGAAATGTAATACTTTCCCAGGAAATAAGCAAACATGTCTTTCCAAATTAAAATGAAGGCCACCCTGGGTTTTTCTTCCCTTCTTGTTACCTTCTTTGCCCAGGTTCATTTTCCATTTCTCAGAATTCTGGAGAAGATGCTCTGGCAGCTTGTATTTTCAAATGAGTGATTTAAAAATAGTATTGCTGACATGCTGAACTATTGCTTTTCTATTGGTCCTGTCTTGGTAAATGAATAGGGACACATGCAGGAAATGTGTTTACTTAAAAATCTTTTATGTTAATGTTGAATTAACCCTGTTTAGATGATATATTGACCATATTTTGAAGAACTGCCACAAGGATTCTCAAAGACAGTCACAGGCACTTAGCCTCAGGCTGCCTGCTGTTTTCTGCTCATGGAATTTCTCTCAGGGCACAGCAAAATCACATCTCTTATGAACATAATATTAAAATGTTCATTCTTAAAAAAGTATTCTCAGTCCTAAAATCCCCCTCTTTTTCTTTCTTTCTTTTTGTGTTTGGGTCATTAATTCCAGGTTTATGAGCTTGAATAGCAACCCCTAGGAATGAAGTCATGTACTGAAACATGTGCAAACAGGGGAACTGTCTGAAACATTTTAAGTCACCGTTAAATGTAGTGCAAGTCATTTATTCTGAATATTGCTGTTTCCTAGAAGTTTCTGACAAAACCATGTAATGCTGCTCACTGTCATTTTCAGATTCCCAAAAGCCTTGTGAAGTCTCCTTTCCTATTTTGTTCAAATACTTCATTTCTTCCTTGACTTTGTTTCAAACTGTGGCTGGCAGAGAATTCTCTTCTGGCTCCTGGCCTTTGTTTTGCTCCTTTGATTCCATTAAATGGGCACACAGAAGCAAGAGCCTCCTCCCCATCTCACAGTCCACCACTTCAGGAATAAAGTCAATACACTTGTGGACAGTTTAAAAGTTAAAAACAAAACAATGTATCAAGCTTTGAAAATAGGTAGAATTATTAAAAATCTGCAAATGAAATGCTTATACATTTACATATTGAATCCTAAAATATTTTTTACAGTAAATTTTGCAGGCCTTCAAAAATATAATTCATCCTTTCCAATAATGGATTAATAGTGTTTTACAATGTTTTTCCATTTTTCTGGCTTTTCCTTTCGTACCTGAGTGGATATAGGTGGTGGTGCTTAGATGTTCTCACTGGAACATGATGGTGATGGTAGCTCACCTTACATGGCTTTTTGCATGTGCCAGGTAGACTTTGAGCATTTTACGCATCTTAATGCACCTACTCTTCCTCTGGACTGTGTGGTGTGAGTGCTGTCCACACTCCGCATTTCATAAACAAGGCATGGGACGCAGCCCTGCAGCCGAACAAGAGCAGAGCTCAGATCTGGACCCAGGCATGACTTCTATAGCATATGGCATGATACTATCTGTCAATGACATTTAAAATATCAGTGCATTATTAAGCTTCTTAAAAAGGAAATTTGATATAATTCAATTAAGTTGAGATGCCCACTAAAAGCATCTCTAGATCAAGGTGTAAGATCTCTCCAGAAATGTAATACTTTCCCAGGAAATAAGCAAACATGTCTTTCCAAATTAAAATGAAGGCCACCCTGGGTTTTTCTTCCCTTCTTGTTACCTTCTTTGCCCAGGTTCATTTTCCATTTCTCAGAATTCTGGAGAAGATGCTCTGGCAGCTTGTATTTTCAAATGAGTGATTTAAAAATAGTATTGCTGACATGCTGAACTATTGCTTTTCTATTGGTCCTGTCTTGGTAAATGAATAGGGACACATGCAGGAAATGTGTTTACTTAAAAATCTTTTATGTTAATGTTGAATTAACCCTGTTTAGATGATATATTGACCATATTTTGAAGAACTGCCACAAGGATTCTCAAAGACAGTCACAGGCACTTAGCCTCAGGCTGCCTGCTGTTTTCTGCTCATGGAATTTCTCTCAGGGCACAGCAAAATCACATCTCTTATGAACATAATATTAAAATGTTCATTCTTAAAAAAGTATTCTCAGTCCTAAAATCCCCCTCTTTTTCTTTCTTTCTTTTTGTGTTTGGGTCATTAATTCCAGGTTTATGAGCTTGAATAGCAACCCCTAGGAATGAAGTCATGTACTGAAACATGTGCAAACAGGGGAACTGTCTGAAACATTTTAAGTCACCGTTAAATGTAGTGCAAGTCATTTATTCTGAATATTGCTGTTTCCTAGAAGTTTCTGACAAAACCATGTAATGCTGCTCACTGTCATTTTCAGATTCCCAAAAGCCTTGTGAAGTCTCCTTTCCTATTTTGTTCAAATACTTCATTTCTTCCTTGACTTTGTTTCAAACTGTGGCTGGCAGAGAATTCTCTTCTGGCTCCTGGCCTTTGTTTTGCTCCTTTGATTCCATTAAATGGGCACACAGAAGCAAGAGCCTCCTCCCCATCTCACAGTCCACCACTTCAGGAATAAAGTCAATACACTTGTGGACAGTTTAAAAGTTAAAAACAAAACAATGTATCAAGCTTTGAAAATAGGTAGAATTATTAAAAATCTGCAAATGAAATGCTTATACATTTACATATTGAATCCTAAAATATTTTTTACAGTAAATTTTGCAGGCCTTCAAAAATATAATTCATCCTTTCCAATAATGGATTAATAGTGTTTTACAATGTTTTTCCATTTTTCTGGCTTTTCCTTTCGTACCTGAGTGGATATAGGTGGTGGTGCTTAGATGTTCTCACTGGAACATGATGGTGATGGTAGCTCACCTTACATGGCTTTTTGCATGTGCCAGGTAGACTTTGAGCATTTTACGCATCTTAATGCACCTACTCTTCCTCTGGACTGTGTGGTGTGAGTGCTGTCCACACTCCGCATTTCATAAACAAGGCATGGGACGCAGCCCTGCAGCCGAACAAGAGCAGAGCTCAGATCTGGACCCAGGCAGATTGGCTGTGGAGCTCTGTCCTGGGACAAGACTAAATTCTTCGCGTTCTTGGGATGAGAGAAGCAACCGGAGGGCAGGGAGGGCAGTCTGTATCCAGTCGCTGGCCTCCAGGGAGGGTGTCCCAGGCTGACTGGTCCTCCAGCCTTATTGGAGTGAGTCTAGCACATGTTTTTGCACATATTCACAGTGTAACAGTTGCTCTGGTATTGACAGATTGTGTAAGATTAAGGGGCATTAAGAGGTACAAGTATCCAGTTATCAAATCAGTAAGTCACAGCATAGGAAACATGATCAGCAGTACTGTCGGAACTCAGTACGGAGACAGCTGATAAGCATACTTACCGTGGTGAGCATTTCATATAACTGCCGAATCACTCTGTGGACACCTGAAACCAGTATAATACTGTCAATCAACTATACTTCCATAAAAGTAAATAAATCAGGCGAGGTGCCCCATCCGCTAGCTATCTGGAAGACGGGCATCTGGATTCATCCCATAATGAGCCCTATGGGGGGGCCACTCTCATGACTCTCCTCATTGGGATTCAAAAACTTTTCTTATTTAAAGACACTGAACTGCATTGTGGATGAACCAAATATAAACCCCAAAATACAAGCAGGAATCAGAGCTGCCTAATCCAGCCTCAAGGACTTCCGCTCACAGACGACCGAGAGAGTGTGCCAACTGTGTTTTGGTACCCAGTGCTCCGCTCGTCCAAATCTTTCCACATTTTTGCTTTGGTACCCCCCCACCCCAAGTCCTCCCAGCTTTCCTGGGAATTTTCCTGGTTTTAGCACTGAAATTTCTGCTTCCAGAACTCTCAGTGCTTCTCAAACAGAAAGAAACCCTACTTTCTCCTGTCCTCTGCCTTTCGTAAATATTTAGTTATGAAGTATTGGGGCTCAGACTACAAAGCATTCTTAAGAAATTTTTTTGAAAGCTTTTACCTCTAAATTACACCAACCATAAATTTTTCATGCACATAATTATTTCCTTGGTCTATTTACCTCTAATGAAAATGGTAAAGCACATGTTTACTAATTTCTGAAAAAGAAACTGTAATAAGAGCAGTAAAGACTTTTTATTATTACAAACAGAAAATGTAACTAAATATGTTCTAGAACTATGAAGGTAACTGTAATGAATGATGTGTGCATGTTTTTAATTAGATGCATATTTCTACCTAAGTAGTACTGTTCAGCATATTCTATGTGGAGAGTTCTATCTAACGCACACACACACACACACACAGAAATTTCATATATTTTGTTGATTTTTAATTATTATTCCCTCTGGATTCTGTGTTCTCAAATTACACAGATTACACTTGAATTTAAGACACTGACCATGAAAACAGTCATTTGAAACTAAAAGCATTTGTTGAGAGGTACGCTAGGGCAGGCACCTGCTTAAAGGATCTTCATGTGTTCGTGAAATCCTCACACCCCGTTAAGAGTGCTGCTGTTAGCCCCATTTGCACTTCACCTGCGTCGTGTCACCCCGCGGGTCAGAGCTGCGGCGCCCCCGAGCTGACCCGTCTCCCTTCCCCGCGCAGAGTGCGGCGGCCGGCTGCGAGCGGAGCCGGGGCCCAGGGACCTGTACTCGCACGCGCAGTTTGGGGACAACAACTACCCGGGGCAGGCGGACTGTGAGTGGCTGCTGGTGTCCGAGCGGGGCTCTCGCCTGGAGCTGACCTTCCAGACCTTCGAGGTGGAGGAGGAAGCTGACTGCGGCTACGACTATGTGGAGCTCTTCGAGGGCCTGGCCCCGGCGGCCGTGGGGCTGGGTCGGTTCTGCGGATCGGGGGTAAGTAGGCAGGATGCACAGATGTGCTGGGAAAGGCCTGTGACTCAGGATGACGGGGCAACATTTGCAGACCGGCAGTGTTTTTCCAAAAAAACGTATCTTGTGTCATGAATGCGTTGACAGATCGAGGCCCACCCTCCTTCCATCTTCAGTGCATTTATTTGCTCGATAATCTCCAAGACAGTCTGATTCAGCAGCTATAGTTTCTTGTTACTCTCCACACTCTAGCTTCTTTATTACTGTGTTTTATTATGTGCAATAAATATTTAAATATTTAATCTAAAAGCAATACACTGAAACACAGGACCTTGCAGAGCCCGTAGACTTCTTAGAGTGTATGAGGAGAAATAACAGGCACACCGTTCAAATGGGCATTCTCCTCTCCACAAGTGCACTAGGCCGGTGGCAGGGTCCCCACTGCTGTGTGAGCTTGTGCTGCCAGAATGTGGTCCCACTGAAACGCGTCACTTTGCAGGACAGCGTGCCAGACACAGGTCGTGGGTGTCACCGTGAGAAATTGGGAGAAGAAAGCTTAAGTTTCTCAGTGCTTCTCCGGGACTCATTGCATTGGTAGCCAACGACCTTTGAATATGTATTTTGTTTCCAAGACGTCAGTCCCATTTTTCTAATTATCTACCAGTATTTAATGGTTATAATAAAGCTGAACTTTAATAATATTGAACTTCTGTCCCAATAGTAACTGAAATGAGACAAAAGAGTTTCTTGTTCCTTAGATTATTACAACAAGAAGAAACTGATTTAGATCCCAGGAGTGCCTCTCTCAGTGCAGCTTCTGAAACAGATTTAATGGCTCCTTATCCTCTCGTAACTAGGTTGATTTATAAATCAGAGGAACTTGGCTTAAAATCTTAGAAAAAACCACCAAGTTCCAGAACTTGGAAATAGACTTACATTCCAAGTCCGGCTGCCTTGCTGCCTGGCCATGTGATCTTGGGCACCCCGTTAGCCGCCCTGAAACCCAAGCTCTCTCCTCTGTAAAACAAAGAAGTCACTTGTATCCACCTTTCAAGGGGGTTGGGAGGATTAAATTATACACCCCCCATCAAAAAATAAAATTCTCAAACTTGAATTACATTGAAGAAAAAGTGACTCATTCTTTTGTTCATCTGCTTATTTGTTTCTGTCTTCAGCCGCCAGAGGAGATCTACTCCCTTGGAGATGCAGTTTTAATTCGTTTTCACACGGATGATACAATCAGCAAGAAGGGATTTCATATAAGATACAAAAGCATTAGATATCCAGGTACAACACATACCAAAAAATAACACCAAGCCTCCATCGGAACGTAAAGAGATGTGTATAATGGAGAAGAGACGTATTTTTTTAAATGAAGATATTAGCATAAATATTTTATATAAGAAGTTTGAACAGACGAAAACTGTTAAGACCAGAGTTCTCTCTGTACTGAAAGAGAAGTTTCCTGATCGGCTTCACCAGGATATTTGGACCCCAAGCTCTTTGGCATAAATATAAATAAAATTGGTAGAAGAGCGTCACGTGCTTTAGGAAGACTGTCCAGGCTCCTGTTCACAGCTTGACATGGATGCCTCACAACTCAGACAGTTCAGGTCGGGGTCTGTGACCCTAAAGAGCATTCTTTGGACTTTTTTTTCAAGATCGGGGAGAAATAAAATGATCTTGCGAGTCATAAACTGGAAAGCCAGCTCCTTGTACCTTAGGATGATTGCTTTGGCTCTGTTTCTTAACCACGGTGTAAACCAGTTCTGTATAAGACGTTGTGAATGGGCGTGTTTTCCAGGTGGTTTGTACTTTCAGTGTGTGTGTGTCTGATGTTTGGAAACTGGAACACTTCAGCTTCATTATTTTCACTTGCAGGCCAGATTAACCTCCTTGAAACACGAGTGACCTTGATGCCACTACATTGAGTTAATTTTCACAAGTCTGGAAAGTCAGTGGTGTCTACTATGGCAACAGAATTCTCGACATGGTGCATTTAACTGCTGGAAAGTGCCCAGTTGACTGGGAAACTCAGTTCTTTCAGAAAAAGTGCTGCTTTTCACACCAAACCCAAGAGGCCTTGTGCTATCTTAGGAACCTTGAGAGAGAGCTCCCAGCAGTGTGAAAGGACTCTCCTCCCAACTGCCTGGACGGCTCCTGTCAAGCCACCCGTTCCGCAGTCGTCTTCCTCTTGTCGTTCTTCTATTGTAGTTGTTATTGCTGATGATGTCATGGTTCATGTTGTATTTAAAAACAATGCAATGAAATGAAGCAGAGGTAGGCCTTGGAAGCATTGAGAGATCTCTATTATTAGTGTAAAAAAATGCAGTGTTTGGAAAAATGGATCTGTTTCTGAAGGACTTTTCTATGGTGCTATTCCATACATCTTTTTTAAATGAAGTTTTTGACCTTTGAGCCAAACACCTGTAGACTCTGAATGTATCCCCTTGTCTGGCTGGTGGCATTTAAAGACTTGTTAAATATATCAAGAGTAGATCATGGCAAAGGGTAGCACTTGTCCTGTAGAACCACTACTTTTAACGCCTTAGAATTCCTGCACATGATCGAACAGACCCTCCAGGCACACTCTCTGAAATGTGGTGCATGGTTGTGCATGTTAATAACAACTCTGTGAGGAATATCTGTTTCTGCAACTGAGAACATTGGGGATAAATACGGTAACCTGCTTTTGTGGTAGAAAATGAATTTCCTGCTTTAAAGCCCTATGTTTTTTTAGTAATAATGTATGTACATGTGAGATCGTTTGAGTGCGTGAAGCTGCAAGAGGCTGAAAAATGGTGGGTTGTTGAAAAGCTAATGTGCCAAGTTCTGCTAGAATTCTGTCTGAAGTAGCACCTTTCTTAGGAAGTTTTATCAGCAAATAATGGGAACTTCTCGTTATTATTGACCCCATTTAAAAGAAGTCTCTTTCCTTTACAGAAACTCTTTTGATATTTCCTGGTTTTCATGGCATTTATTTTATGAAGTGGCTTTGTTTCTGTTACCTGTCCATGAACATTCAACATTTAGGGAAATTAGGTATTCTTCCTCATTTTTACAAAATTAAACTATACACACAGATGTAGCTTTTTTTTTTTATTGCCTTCCTGAAAAATCTTTTATTGCATATGAATTATAATATGTAAATACTTGTTGTAGAACCAATCCTTGGATCTTACTGAATGTTACTTTGGAATTATATCAACTGATGCCTGCAGGATAATGAGATTTTTAGTGGAGCTGATTTATTCCAGTGACTTCTATACTTTTTCACTTATCTGCAATTAGACAGAATATATCAGGAATGGGAAAGAGAGGAAAAAAACCCATCACATGCTTAGTGTATATACTGTGCCTAGCCCACTGCTGGGCACACGGCACTAGCTCTTTTTGAACTCTGTGCTCCCCTGTAGAGCTGCGGTGATGTTCAGTTCTGTCGCTGAACTGAGAGAGAAGATCTGTAACATTCCAGGGTCTCCGTGTGAAGCTAGATGTTGAAACCCAGCTTGCCCTAGTGAACAACCTGTGCTTGTCCTACAAAATGTAATAGAATCAACTTGACATAAATAAATAGTAGATTTTTTTATGGTGAGACTTTTCAACATACAGTAAAATTTAGGTATAAATTACAGTGAAACTTTCAGGGTAAGCATTGATCCTTTCAGAAAGCAGGAGAATTCGAATATTGACTTTAGATATCTTTAAGAACCACAGTTACTACTAGAAATTATAAAAACAAAAAACTACTCTGGAATTGGGAGTTACTAACCATGGGCCTTTTGTTAAAATAAGCACATCAATTTACTCTGTGTGGCAGTCGAAATGCAGTGTTGCGCTTGCAAAATATTCTGACTGTTCCTGTTGGCATCTGAGGCTGCAGTGAGCTGTGTTCTACACAACTGGACATTAGAGCAAAGGGCTGTTTAGAGGCATTTAGGGTGTTGTAACTCTAGGTCTTCCACGCAAACATTAATTTTTATTGTTATGTAAGATATCAGTTCACTGCGTATTATTTTTATATTGAACTTTGCTTAAATGTGTTGTTAAATGCAAATACAGACAGCTTCATTGTTATTTTGTTAATAATTGTTAGTTACTGTTCTAGGCATTTTATTAAATTAATTTTGTAAATTATTTCCACCCCTACATCAGGATATTGGTTGTGTTCTCTACTCACCCAGTTCTAACTCCCACACAATCTTCACTGACTATACAAAGGTAAAAAGTGCTCCCATCTTAGGTGATTTTATTAAATTATTTTTAAAAGTCAATTTCGAATATTAATCTGGTTTATAGAAGCAATCATGACTTAGCTGCACAAAACATTTTTTAAATATATGAGCAACAACAGTTATATTTCCAATGCCCCTTGCCTGTATTGGCTAGACTTTTGTCATCTAGGCCTAATTTTAATATATGAAAATATCAGATTCAAATTCTGTCCAATTTTTTTTAACATGTTAGTCTCTTTGGTTTCTATTAATATTGTATTTTGGATAATAAACCTCAAATATGAAATTTTGTTCTCCCATATAGAGCATCTCTAAGAGCATCTAATGACTAATTATTATTTTTCATAAAGGTAAAAGTTATTTTTTTAGAAGTGAACTACAGTCATTTTTGACACTAAAAATAACATTTACTTAAAATATCAAAACATTTGGTAATTTTGTTTAGTGATAATAAGACTTGCTTTTTGGAAAACATTTAATACCACTTGTCAAAACTGGCATGGGAAAAGGAAAACAGAAAAAATAGTTACCTCCTGAAGATTTATAACTTTGATTGCAGAAACATCTTCTGTTGCACAAGAAAAAAAAATATGTAAAATAAGCTTATTCAAAAAGAAAAAAGCTGGTCTGTGAATGTATCGAATCATTTTATACGTCAGTGCACAGTCAATGGTTGCCAATGAATGGTTAGCGTTAGTCTTTAGTGTTACTGTTATAAAATGAAGTTTTGTCATTAGCTTAAGAAACTATTGATGGATGAGTGAATCGGACATATTGTAGGTATAAATATTAATCTCCAAATGTTCCTTTGACACCTTCTTTTTCCATTCTCCAGTCTTTACCCCACCCACCATTCCTCACCCCTGAATCCGGGCTTGCCCTGTACCCGCAGCTTGCACCTGCTGCCCAGCCCTGCACCATGCCATGGTCCTAACAAGATTGTGGGGCACTGAGCACATCTCACTCTATATAATCTCCCTCCCATCCAACATTTTAGATAAGAATCAGTAGAATAAATAATAGTCTCTAACTTTAGAAGACTTATAGGTGGAAATGTATGTGCAGTAAAGCAGATGAAGAGGGGAGACTAGGAATGTGCAGCTTGTGCCGCAGAGACAAGGTCCTGGCAGCTGGGCATACTGCTCTTTCTGCCCAAGTGTAGGTGTTGAAAATAAGGAGAGAACTTGTGTTTTATGTGCTGTGTCTACATGAATACAAGCTAAGGGCTTCACCAGTCTCTTTGCCCTTCCTCTGCTCCATCTAGCTGTGTTGTCTGTACAGCTAGAAAAACTGGGTATACGTGCATTTCATTATGCCCAACTATCACATTCTTAGAGCATACTTGCATCTGAAATAAAAATAGCAAGCCATGGTTATCCAAATCGATTTACAATAGTAAAACATGCTCAGTGCTTCCATGATTTTGCAAATTACATTTTAAAAGAACAGATCCAGTGGTGCTGCTTCTATTAAATAATATTGTAGGATCATTATATTAATCATAATACTTAACTATACAACAAATCTAAAAACTGACAAATTTCATATCTGTCAAAAGCTCTATTAGGAATATTTTTAAAAGAGCAGCTACAGCAATTTAGTTAAAAACTATAATTTTCCATCAGAAAGTAAAAGTGCATCTGCATCTGTATTCCCACATGAGATTTTTTAAGACAGAATCAGTGATTCACACAAATGCTCACTGAGTGGTGATAGGGCTGAAATGAGGTAAGGGACTCATTGCAAGGGATGCTTTTAAAATTATTTAAATTGGGAGATTGCCCAGAAAGGACAGATAGAGTGTGTGGATTATAGATAAGTTTAAATAGGAAACACCTACCCTTAAAGAATATTTAGTAGACATTCTTAGAGGGCTATGATTAAACATTAAACTGCAGGAACATTTTCCACAGGGATCTAAATGATTTTATACCCCTGAATGCCTATGAGCTGTGCTTGAATTTACTGGGAAAAAAAGGTTCCTTGTAATAAGTTTTGCCATTTTTCAAAGCATATTACATATTACCATATTGCAACCATTAAGTTTACTCATTTATTCATTCCACTCATTTTTTTCTTTCAACAAATAGTTGATTCATGCCTACTAATGTGCCCAGCACTGTGCTGAGTACTAAGAATTTAATGATAGATTTTAAAAAATCATAATCTATGTTCTTGTAAGGTTAAATTCTAGTGGGAGAAATAAACATTAATTAAAAGCAATCACAAAAAGTCATAGGTGCAATATTAAACATGCATGTATATTTTACAACCATTCTGAGGGCATTACTCCAAATAGTATGGTTTATATTTTGAGACAAACATTACCATATGCATCCTTTCCTTATCTTTTCTTTTCTCTGTCTTCTTGCATTTGTGCTTTTTAAACTTTCAGTTGTCCTATAAAATTAACTTTTTTGCATAAATCACTTGTATGTTCAATTTATAAGTAAATAATTCTCAAGGTGAGCAACAGGGATGACATAGTATAAAAACTTCTGATACTTATTCAGGTAATTCTTTAACAAACTGAGCTAAACAATATAATTTACAAAAAGTACTACCTAATGCTATCACCAGTAGTGCTTGATAAATTCTAATTCTTATCATGATACACATTTAAATACTTGAAATCCATAATCTCCTACCAATGTTGACCTAATGGGTGGAAAAGGCATACTTCACAACTGTTGTGTGACTTGTGCAGCGGGGAAATGCCTCACTGCCTTACTATTTGCTTCCACCACCAGTCAACAACTGTCTTAAATGTAGGTAAAGCCCTTAGCATACTCTGCCCTATGAGGGGCTCTCACACACAGAAATCCTTTAGACACATATATATGAATTCAGGCAACCTATCACCCCCACAGAGAGTGCTTCATAGACTATGCCATGAAGTCACAATAACACATTATGAAATGTTCAGGGAAGAGTAGTACACAATAAAACAAAGTAGCAAATTAGACTCTAGAACACTGGATATTGGGTTATCACATGTAGACTAAAATGATTAAAGCAAGGAAAGAGAAAATATGTGGAAAATCATAGATACTATCAAAATACTGAGATTTTTAAGAGGAATAAATTGAATTTGTAGAAAAGGAACAGTACAGTAATTGAAATTTTAAATTTAGATTAGACATAGCTGATAATAATGTATGAACTGGGAGAGCTTAAGAATCATACAGAATACAGCAGAGACAAAAAGAAGAAAAATTACCTAAAAGGAGTATTTTTTTAGAAACACAGCATATAATGAAATACAGTCTTAAAGGTATTAAGAGTAAATATAAATAATCACTCTAAATTTTTATATCCTGCTAAACTACTCGCTACAAATGGGAATTAAATTAAGTCAATTTCATATTAGTAAAAACTGGGAGTTTACCATTAATAGATATTCATTAAAGCATCTAAGAGATTTTCTTCTGGAAGAAAAATGAAAACAGGTGTGAGTAACATAAGAAAGAAAAGTGATCAAAGAGTTGGCAATTATGAGCCAATTTAAGAGACATTAAAATAGAAAAGTAATATTAATGATTTGGAGAGAAAGTAGAATCACATTTAAGACAGTAATAATGTGTGCAATTAAAGAGGGTTAATTGAATCTGAGATGTTCTTTGTAGTGTTTGAAAAGAGGATTAACTTCATACTTTGTTAAATATACTTGATAAATATAAGGAGAACCTAAATAATAAAGGCAGGCTATATAAATTCTAACCAATAAAGAGGGAAAGCTAATTTTAAATCTTAAGGATAGCATACAAAGAGGGAAAATTCATAGGAAAAGTAATGGAAATGAAAAGCACAAAATGAGAAGATGGTAAAAGCAATAATATGTAATATTTAAATTTGAAACAACTGCCAAGAATTTTCCTAAATTTCTGACATATTATTTCATTTAACCCTCACAAAATCTTTGAACTATAAGTTATATTTTATTATCTCCTTTTTTAGGAATAAGGAAATGAATCAAATATACTGGTAATCACAATAAGTGTAAATACTATGAAATTTCCATTTTAAGGGAAGATAAAGTTAAATTAAAAATTGGATTAAAAATTCATTTGTAAGCTTTCAGAAAAGATGCTAGTAAATCATAGTACCAACAAAGTTGAAATGAGAAATCACTTCAGGTAAATTCTAAGCCAAAGTTAACTGAAGTTTCTATGGTAACATGAAATAAAATAAATCTTCAGGAATAAAAGATCATTTGAGATAAAATGAGTGATTCCACAATGATGAAAAGAAATAATACATTAAACAATTTAAAATGTAAATTTGGTTGAATGGGAGAACAGAGTTTCAAAATATATACAAATTGTTAAAATCGTTCAAAAAATGTAATCCACGATGATAGATATTGAAGTCTCAGTAAGACAGACGTAAGATATAAAGCATTTGAAATCACATTCCTCATGGAGGAGTAGGACCCAGATTATATAAATGAATCCTGAATTTGGTAAGGCACAAACAACCCAAAAGATCAGGAATTGGCAAACTATTTCCTGCAAGCCAAATCCAGCTTGCTGCCTGCTTCTGGGCAGTCCATTAGCTACGACAGACATGTAAAAAAGACTGTTAGCATTCTGGCAAGAACTGTTAAAGAGTTGAGGACATTGCCTATTGACCCATAACTCTTAGAATACTATGTAATCCTTTATAGAAAAAGACAACCATGGAGTAGGGATAAAAAAAAAAGAAAAAGAGAGAAAAAAAGACAACCACATAATATACAAATATGCAAAGCACATGTAGAGGCTATTCACAGATGAAGAAATCAGAATGGTCAGTAAACAAATGAAAACATGTTTGATATTGCTATTTTTGGAAAGCTCAAATTTAAAATATGGGATACTACCTTATATCCATTGCATTTGTGAAAATTGAAGTCTCCAGCACTATCAAGTTTTTGCAAGGACGTATTAGCACAGGAACTCTTCCTCACTGCTAGAAAAAGTGCAAATCAGAACAAATGCTGTGGATAGCTACTTGAAGATGTTCCTATTCATCAACCAGGAGTTTCATTCTAAGATGGAGAAGAACTTTTGTACTCTTGCCTGCCTTTAGAGAAACACCCAAACCACAGGAGCTGGGCACCAGCAACGTGGTGCAGCCTGCAGGAATTTGCTGAAAGGAGCACACCAGGACCTGGAAAAGTGACCTTTCCTCTACGTCCTCCAGTGTTCTGTCCTGACAAAGCTCAGCACCGGGTATCAGAGAACAAATACACGAATGGGCCAACTGCATTTGCTACAGCAGGCAATGAAAAATGTATTTAAAATTGAGAGGCAAGTGGACAACTGGAACATATAAAGTGACAGCATAAGGATATAAACATTATGATATATAACATGTTTTGTGACCTTTAATTTTTAAAAAATAAATCCACAACCATGAAAACTACATTTAGTGGCATTTTAAAGGTGACCATTTATATACACCATAAATTATACAAAAGTAACCTTCCCACCTAGAAGCAACAATCTCCTCTTTCTCCCCTTTTTTACTTTTTCCCCTTTAGCTCCTCCTGAAGATCAACATAAATAAACCTGTCATTTAAAAACTGTTTTCAAAGGACTCTTTATAACATATCATAGCTGATGCATATCTATGTACACTTTTAATTCAGATTAATCATTTTTGAGTATACAATGAGGCTCATGTAGGCAAGTATTATTCCGATTATACAGTTGGATATCTTGACTTCCCAAGATCACATTAAACAATGAGAACATTTGGTGTCTGTGATAAAGAAAACATATCCAGAAAGAAGTTGATACATGTATTACATTTTAAATTAAAAAGTAATCATAATTTAGATTCCTGTTTTGATTTTATATTATATTTTTGAATACTAATATATTTAAAATTAAGCCTTCCTTAAAAACATAAAAGACACTGATTTGCCCATTAAGTAAATAATTTATACAGTTTGGCTAAGTTATATTGACTCCCATTAAGAATTATGATAGAATTACTTGTTGCAAATTAATACGCTCCACCAAAAGCAAACAGAATAGTAGGGTAACTTTTTCAGCTTTATTGAGGTATAATTGACAAATACAACTTCAAGATACTTAAAGCATATTACATGATGCTTGGCTATATGTATAAATTGGTGAAAGGATACACTCTACTAAGTTAATTACACATCCATCACCTCAGGTATTTACTGTTTTTACTTGGTGAGAACTTTTTTTTACCCTCTTAGTAAATTTCAGTTACATTGTTCATATACTATAGTCACCATGTTATACATCAGATCCACAGAACTCATTCATCTTATAACTGAAAATTATAACAGCAGAAATAAACTAAATAGAGATTGAGGAGACAAAAGAAAATATCAATGAAACTAAGAGCTATTTTTTAAAGATAAAATAGATAAAACTTTGTTTAACTTACCAAGGAGGAAAAAGAGAAGATGCAAATCAATAACATTCTAATTGAAAGAGGAGTCACCACAATGGATGCCACGCAAATACAAGGATCGTAAGAGACATCTATGAACTATACACTAACAAATTGGGCGACGTAGAAGAAACGGATATTTCCTCGAAATACACAACCTGCTGAATCAAGAACACTGAGACTTGAAGAACAGAAAAACTGAATGGACAATTTATTGTTAAGGAGATTGAATCACTAATCAAAAACCTCCCACCAGGTGCTGGGGAAGCCCTTGAAATTCTAGCCCTTGCCCAGCCAAGGTTGGTCTTGCTGGGCCCTGGGCTTGGGGCCCAATCTCTGCCCAAAGCTTGTGTAGGCTTGACAGTCCATCCACTGCCGAGGGGGCCATGCTCACTGATGGCTGATGCACATCAGCCTGTCCTCCCATTGCAAGAAGGCCCAGCCACATGAGGCCTTAGCCAAGCCATTCACCTGCACGTGCAGGGCTCGGCCTGGAGCCACAGCACCCTCAGAAATGGTGCTGGGGGCAATATGTGGGACTGTGGAGCAGTGGGGACTTTAAGGAAACAGTAACAAAATGGGGAGAAGATGGTGAGATTGTGGCACCAGCCTACATGGGTCAAACATCTCTCATGAGAATTTACCGCACTATAATTTTGATTCAGAAGTACTTGCTCCTAAAAATAAAACCTCCCATCTAGAAGAAATAGTGTACCAGAACCATATGGAAATTCCAATAGAGCAACTGCTGCTAGGACTTACTTTGTTGGAACGTGCTCACAAAAGAGCCCAGAATAGTAAAATAATAAGGGATGTTTCAGTTATGTTGTTAGCCTCTTAACAAAGGAAGTACCATGGAGAACAGGGATTTTTTTAAATCTTCAATAGAACCTGGCGTAATGTCACAAAAACATCCCATAAGGCTCTTCTCTCTGAACAATTTGCTATGAAGTGCTTCCATTGGATGAGCA